GAATAACCTTAAATTTCAGTTTTGCTCTGCTAACTCAAAGCATATCATGCCTAGATAATAATGCGGAGTTTTTCTTTTGTAGTGTTTCATTGGCAAGCCACAATTATGGGACCTGTAAGTATTCTAATTCTTGTGATGTAATGCTAAACTTGTGTAGTAGTTCTTACTCAGGAAGGACTTTGTCTTTCAACTCCTCTTATTAGACTTTACTTCTAGAGATCTTCCTTATAGTGGCAGAAACTGAAGGAGGGGGAAAAAACAGTCTGGCAATGCTTGCGTATTGCTGGAGCTTTGTATCAGAACACATGTTTGAGCTGAAATAATCTTCAGAGCAGTGTAAGGCTTAATTTGTGTTTTACAGTTTCTGCAGTTTAAATCTAGCATAGCTCATTTTTGTAGTCAGAACTAGTGCTGTTTTCGGCAATGAGTTGGACTGCATATGGGCACATTTTAGAAGAGGTTAGGGACGTCCTCTTTGATCTGGCGTCAGCTACTGAGATCTTGGATAGTTGGGAATGGAAGGTAAAAAGTCACTGAAATACGGGCTTCCGCATGTGACCCTGTGCGTGTGTGTGTACAAATGCACTGTACCTGTCTGAAACCTGAATGTGACTATTCCCCTGCTAGCGTAAAGAAGGCAGCTGTTTGTCCTCACTAAAAACCTAACCTCTGGATACTGATATACTAAGCTCTTGGGGCTGGTTAGCTGTGTTTAGAAAAGGAAACTTGTAACTTGAGGAGACAAGTACCAGACGTGTGCAGCCTGCAGTCCCCTGTGTGATGCTTTTACTTTGGGCTACAGAGCAGGAATTAAGTATTGGTGATGCTGTACTTCTCTGACCTTATATATGGCTACCTGTGTAGTTTAGGCAATGAAATTTTATCTGAGGGTCTCCTGACTGGCAAAGTGGTTCTGCATTCCCAAATCTGTGGTAGTCTTTGAATGTAACTAGGTGCCTCAAAAAGATAAAGCTGTTTAACAGCTCTACTCATTTGAAATCCTCAAAAACAGGATTTATATATATACATATATATATACACACACACATACACGCACACATATATATTTTACTTCCCCTTCTGATTTAACAGTGCACAGCTCCTTTTCTCCATATGCTATATACTGTGTTAATCAGAACGGCCTGCATTCCAGTCGCAGGATTGGGTATTGGAAGCACCTTGAGGATAATGTGCTACTAGTGCTAATGTGCCTGCAGTGTTGCTTAATGTCCTTAAGGAAAGATAAGGGTTGTGCTGCCAATCATCTGGCATTACACATCTGCATGTAATGTGTCATTATACAGGCTGCGGTTTTGTAAGTAAGGTGTAAAGGAGCTTGCATAGTTTGTTTCCTTATGTTTCAACAGATTCTGGGAGAAGTTTGTTCTGTAGTTGCTAAAATATATCCCAGAGACAGTGTAGAAAAAGGGGTTGCTTGCTGGCTCCTCAACTTGTATGTGCTGATCAAGCACCAGAGGTTATCTTTTCATTCCTGTGGTTTTGACAGAGATCGCGTGGCATATAACCCACATGTTGACAAGCTCCTGTCCCTTATCTTGTATTAGAGAATTTAATTTACTGGTATTTAACATAGCAAGATGCACTTACTGCTTTATATAAGTGAAATGTTCTTTCAAACAATATGAAAGTTCAGTTTCTAAATAATTCAGAAGAATACTCTGAGCTCTGTGTCAAATTCATTTTTCATAGTCTTGAGCCTGGAATTAAAAGCGCTGTAGTCCATAAATTAAATAGCAGAATTAGGTAGTTTCCATTTCAGAAAATTTTAGTTGCTGTTTCAAATTAACTCTTCTTACAGCATCTTCCTTGTTGTGAATAGGAGCTTGCACAGTCTATAAGTAATCATTCCACTTAGCTGCTTTTGTAGCTTCCATACTTCAAGTGTTACTTTGTTGCTGATAATAAAATCTGAATGAATTCTTCCTATAACTGGTTCCTTGGAACAGGAGAATGTAAAATATTTCATGTACCAGGTTATGGTGAATTTCTAACAGGAAGGAAGCTTTCTGTTTGTTTGTCTTTTGTTAGGAGTGGGGAGTTGTATGTGAGAAGGGACTTTTTTCAGGACTTAACAGTGCCTACACCAAAGAGAGATCTTAGGAGGGGTGCGAGACCTTTGAGTTGTCTTTGGCCACGATTTCATGGGTGACTGCAATGAAGTCTGTATGAGCACTTGGGGTGCTTGAGAGCTTGTTAGACAAGGCTCCCCCTCTGTCAATGTTGCTTCTTGGAGCTCTTTCAGAGATTTGGATGTCTTCTCAAGGTCTCCTGAGCGGAAGGGCACGGAAGTTGGTTTTTTTTTTTTTTTTTTAATGAAACATTGGTTTGGAGAGGTCCATTCAAAAGGTTTTGTAGAACTTAATCTTAGGAAGGAGTAGCTGAAATTTAGTGGCATCTCTGTTTTTTAGTGAATTAAACAGTTCTATTATTTAAACAGATTTCTTCTCCTTTTATTTATTTAAAAACAACATCTTCAGAGAAATGTGGTCCTAAAGATGATAACGGGAGAATTATTTGCTTGCTTTGACAGAATGACAGTCCATATCAGGGTGGTGTATTCTTCTTGACAATTCACTTTCCTACAGACTACCCTTTCAAACCACCTAAGGTAAGTATTACTTTCTCATTTGTGAAATTAGTGCTCTTTAAGGAACTCAGTGCAGGATAGAAATTGTAGATATTTGAGTTCTAATGTTACCGAGTTCTCACTTTGTTCATACGTTCTTATGAAAATTAGTATCTTAAATGCCTGTCTCTCTCTGGCCCACAAACTTATGTTCCAGCATATATTCAGGGAACATATTCACACCCAGTAATTTTAAACTGCTTGGAATTATATTGTTTTCTGTTTTGGTAACAATCTAATTGTTAGGAAATTATTATTGTACTATTATTATTATGTTATTGCAATGGAATTCTTGCTTAGGGGACTGTCAGGTCTTACTGTATAGCTCTTTGGGTTGTTATATGTGGCCCTAATGATATAGATAGACTTACAATACTTGTTGATTTTTAGAAACTCAGTATCTATTATGATCTGGTGCTAATCATGAAATACTGTTAGTAACTGGCAACATTAACTAAAAAGTGTACCTTTCATTTTAAATGAAAATCAGAAAACTTGGTTCTTGAGTTCTGCAGTAGCCCTTTTACCATGGTTGAAACAATTATGTGTGTTTCTGTCATGTTGCAGGCACCTGTGATTAAAACAGGGCCCCTGCTTGGCTTCTCTCTACTCCGGTTGTAGTGCCTAGTGATCTGACATCCAGAGGCTGCTGTCTTGGTTGCATTTCTGTGACTCTGTGATGCAGCCTGCCTGTTAAATTCTTCCTTTTCTTTTAGAACAAATTGAGTTGACTAATAGTTTGGTTGAAAAGAAAGTGACATTGTAATTGTCACTGACTGAAACACACCTTTTTCTTTTTTTCTTTCCTTTATAGGTTGCATTTACAACAAGAATCTATCATCCAAATATTAACAGTAATGGCAGCATTTGTCTCGATATTCTAAGATCACAGTGGTCTCCTGCTTTAACTATTTCTAAAGGTAACTTTTCTGAAGGGGAAATGTTTCCATCTTGTGTTGAATACTGTTTTTAGCTTTGATTGTCTCGAGTCCCTATTCCTGTCTCTTGATTTTTCTCTTAGTCATTCTAGCATGTGTTTTGCCACTTTGGTAACGATATCTTGCTGCATTTTTAATGGATGTTTGTTTTTTCAAACACCTTCTGCTACATGGCTGTTTAAGGCCTTGTCTGGCCACTTATTTGCATCAGTATTTTTAGCAGTGCTTACTAGCTTGGTCCCAGAGGGGATTGCCAGCATGTAGACTGAAGCAGGGCTGTGGTGGTGTGTTAAAGCTAAGGCTGAGGAACAGCTTGTTTGCATGTTGATGTATCCTTGCTTAGCAATTTAAAGATGGCTTGTTCCAGGTCAGCTTTTGATAATGAAGTCTGAGTAGCTTAGAAACATTTCAGTCCGCTTAGAATTACATTTTGACTTACACTGACATGTATCTGGACAGAGAAATAAAAGGAAATGGATACCATTGATATGCACATCTCTTCTGTGCAGTGGTGTTGACTGGGCTTGTTAACTGCACTTCAGGATAAACTTCTACTGCAGCACAAGTTCAGCTTTGTAGCTTTCCTCATTTCATTATAGTAAATACCAGTTTTCAAGTATTTTCATGAAGGTAGAATTGTGTGTGTTTGCCTGTTTACCCTGGTCACCATGGCTTCAAAAAGTGCTTCTTTAACTACAAAACTAGTAATTATTATCTATTGAAGAAGTATGTTTGCTATTTGAATCTAAATTCTCCATGTTTTAACATTGCCACTATTTTCTTTTTTTATTTTAAAGCTGCTGTGAGTAGAGGATGCAGATCCTGTAGTGACCTACAACAGTGTTTCTCGCTAGCAATCCTTTATTTTACAACTTACGTGTAGTTTTAGCAGTGTAGGTCAGGGTGTTGCGCTCTCAGACAGCAGTGAAAGAATGGCGTCTGAGGAAAGTGCTGATTCCAGGGATGAAAAGCATGGAACATGTTGACCATCAGAACACACAGTAGTGTGCTTTAGTTAGCTGCTACCTTGCATCATAGTTCAGGGGACAATTATGCTACTTTTGTGTCTGTTTGCTGAAGGTTGTGAGTATTGGGAAATGGGAAGCAAATAGTTCTTGGGAATTTTAACTCACTTGGGATTTTTTTATTTAGAGTAAACTATGAATTTACTTCAGGCATGTATCGGGAATAGGCTTTTTGAGCCCCTTAGCATGCAGTCGTTATCTTAACACAGAGCCGTGTGCCAATGTCTCTGACATCCTTGCTCCTGTTTTGCTATTGAGGTGTTTTATTTATTTTTTTTTTACAGTTCTCTTATCCATTTGTTCACTGTTATGTGATCCAAATCCAGATGACCCACTAGTGCCAGAGATTGCACGTATCTATAAAACAGACAGAGACAAGTAAGTACAGAGTTATGCAAGATGTACTCCAACACACTTTGTGAAGAATGCTCTGTCCGACAGCAGTTGTATTGACTGTGTCTTTTGTGAAAATCTGGGTTGGTGTAAGAGATATCTATTGGTAGTGTAAAAACAAAGGGACTTAGTATCTTTGAAGCTGTGGCAGGGCGGGAGGGAGAGAGTAGCTTTTTCTCAAATGTGGCAGTATTTGAAAGTGTGTGTTGCCTACCAACTGGCTTACTATGCTTGAATAGCAAACTTACATGAAATTAGCCTTTGGTTTTATATTAATGCTAAATATACTTGTCCAATTAGGTACAAGAGGTTAGCAAGAGAGTGGACAGAGAGATACGCTATGCTGTAGGGTAAGAATATCTGCACATTATGGTGCATTCAACAAAATGGAAACTTGTCAGCACTTGAGTGCTGCATTCTTTAAGGCACTGGATTAACTAACAGATAATGGATGCACCAGTTACTGGACTTGAATATTTAATAGCTTGGTCTGTGGTTAGTGTGAAATGTATTGGCTAGTCACTATTTCTCACAGATACTGCTCTTGCATGGCAAACAAACAAACAAAAAAAAAGAAAGAAAGAAAAGACCATATGAAATAATTAGCAAATTTTGAGCTAGCTTGTGAACTTGTTCTGGTAAGTATTTATCCAGATTTTGTCAGAACTTCATTAAAAATGATGCCCTGGAAACAGTGCTCTGTAATCAGACCTCATGCATAGAGATGCATGAATTTAAACTATCCAAATTTAAACTTTCTGTTAGTCAGCATTGTCTTGACTTCTACATATTTTAGACTAGCAAAATATAGAGAGATTATGATCTGCTTGTATAGCTGAAAATTAACTTGCTACTGACAAGCATGGAGTTAAATTTAAACTAATTGTCAGCTCAGTTCCTGTGGAAGTACTGTACTGTACTTAAGAAACTGTCACTACTTAAAAAATTGCTTGAGCAGTATATTAATGTGAAAAGAGATTTCTGAGCATGAAGAGATGCCTATTGTTATCCTACTCAAAAATACGAAAGTTGGCATACATTCTATATCCAGTGATACTATTAATCAAGTAATCTTTACTGATGGCATGTGATACTCAATAATAGTAATGATAAGGACTCTATTTAAACCAAACACTTCCCTTACCCCTCTCACCACAGGTGATCTCTATTCCTTCCCTTTCAGTAATCTTTCGCAACATACCTCTGGCAAATCTGCTCATTTTAGATTTGAAGTATTTTACGCAAATTAGAAAATACCCAAGTCAGTCTAGGGTGCGATTTGTTCAGGTTTTTGTTTCAGTTTCTATTAGTATAGAAAGAAACTTCTCTTAAAGTGATGAAGAATAGGGAGGTGGGAATAAAATACGAATTTATTGTTTACCTGTTTTTAATGCTGTCATTAATTCCATTTTTCCTTGTAGGTACAACAGAATATCTCGGGAATGGACTCAGAAGTATGCCATGTGATGCTACCTTAAAGTCAGAATAACCTGCATTATAGCTGGAATAAACTTTAAATTACTGTTCCTTTTTTGATTTTCTTATCCGGCTGCTCCCCTATCAGACCTCATCTTTTTTTATTTTTTTGTTTACCTCCTTCCATTCATGCACATGCTCATCTGAGAAGACTTTAGTTCTTCCAGCTTTGGACAATAACTGCTTTTAGAATCTGTAAAGTAGTTACACAAGAACAATTGCCCAAGATTCAGATTTTTTTTTAATGGAGCATGTGTATTATGTGGCCAATGTCTTCATTCTAACTTGGTTATGAGATCTAAAAAAAAAAAAAAAATCCTCACTGCTCTAACAGATGCTGAAGATATCACCTGAAAGGGGGTGGGGAGATGGATGTTCATTTTTCTCCCATCAAAGAAGTAATATTGCTGTAGCAACATCCATCTTGTTCTAAACCTACCAGTGTTAGAGAACTGAGGTTTTGCTATATTCTTTTGCTCATAACTGATGTGTCTGGAGAATTGGTACTGAATCTATAGCATCAGCAGAACAGAAAATGTGATGTATCTTATGCATGTCAATAAAGGAATGACCAGTTCTTGTTTTACAGAGAATGGAAATTGGAAGTCAAACATCCCTTGTATTCCAAAATAGGGTCTAAGAACATTTTTGTAATTCATTTAAATTTTGTTAGGAGGCTTGGAGCTATTAGTTAATCTGTCTTCCAAAACACTGTTTATTATAGCACTGAATAAATGATGCAAGTTGTCAATGGATGAGTGATCAACTAATAGCTCTGCTAGTAATTGATTTATTTTCTTCAATAAAGTTGCATAAACCAATGAGTTAGCTGCCTGGATTAATCAATATGGGAAACAAAATCTTTTGTAAAAGCAAAGCTGGTTTTTGTATATACTGTTGGGATTTGCCTCATTGTTTAACATCAAATAATGATGTAAAGTTCAATAGAGCGAATTTTTTGCCATTTTCAGTTATAATACTCAGTCTGTTGCAGGTTGACACATTGTTCGGCCTGATGTATGCAGAATTAATAAGCTAACGTAGTAGTGTAGCTGTAGCTGGGTGCTACACCTGGTGCTGGGAGCCCAGCGTTCGAGGATGGACTTGGGACCCAGCAGATCTGAAGTGGTGTGTTGTGGAGATGCTTCCTGATGCACCTGTGTTTGCTGACTGAGAACCTTTTTCTTCACCTTGTACGCTTGACAGCTGAAAGATCTTAATGTGGGAGTAATGATGAGGCAAAAAAATATAAAATAAAGTACTGTTTTGATGTGGGAATTGTCATGAGGCTGTGTTGAAGTGACTTTACTATGTGGGATGTTTGTTACCATTGAAAAGGACTTGTTCAGCCATGCGGCCATTTACATTAATGATTATTTTAATGCAACAGACACTTTCCTCATGTCAGGTGACTAAACGTGAATAAAGACTCATTGCTATTGGATTTTTGTTCTACAAGAAACATTGTCTTGTGCCATTAGTTTATCTCTGCAGCAGCAAGGGCATTACTAAGCATCTGGCTCTCCTGTTTCCTGCCCTTCATGTTTTTCCTTGGTTGGTTTTTTGGTCTCCATTCTTACCATCCATAGCTTTGTTTTCTCTAGTCTTGTACTATCAGTTTATTGTGCATCTGTGACTTCGCACTGGCACCACTTTTGCACTGCTTATAGTTATGTACATTCTGATTCCTTGTCCCCACATGGATGTGGAAAGCTAGATGTAAAATAAATGTTAAACCTTAATTTTTATAAAAATTTGAATATGTAGTTTGGACATGGTTTGTTCTGGTTTTAAAATATGAAGGTGAACTTGAAGAGCGGAAAAAAAAAAAAAAGCTTCTAGCTGGCTTGACATTAGGAAACTTGGGTTCTCTTAACTGAAATGTTCTTTTCTTAAACTTGTTAATGGAGTTGGAGTTCCTGCAGTATTTCTGCTTTACTAACCAAAGGTTTTTAGTTCTTTATAAACTTTTCTTGGAATAGGATACACCTACAGTGTGGTTGCCTAGTATAATGGTTGAGATAAAAACTTACGCTTACAAGCTGGCAAACTTGTTCCTCCCACCTTGTTGCTGATTGTGTTAATTCGGTGCTTTGGCTCTTTTCTCGTGTGATGATGAGGCCGACCTCTTGGGAGGTGTTAAGGTGCCAGATTTTAGATAACTGAATGGGGCGGAGGGGTGCATGAGGGAGGGAGGGGAAGGAGAAGATGGAGCAGCCCACAGGTAATATATTGCATAGAGGAGAGATGCCTTGCTTGGCCACTGTACCTTCTCGTGTACGTCTGTAATTTTATTTATTTTTGCAGCCTCCCATCGGTTCTACCTGGTCATTTTATTTCTAATTCTTCATTATTAGGAAAATAGTCAGTTACAAGCATCATCATCCAAAGCAAGTTTTATAGATCCATTGAATGTGGGAAAATTACCCTTGATTTCTTTCCTTGGCTGGTTTGTAGTTTCGGATGTGTGAACCAGGCGCAGGCAAGCACGTCTCGCTGAGTTTTGTGCAACAAATTGGCACTAGGACAATAGAGACCAATAATCTATAATCAATAAAGGCCCTGAAGGTATTGAGGTCACTTCATTAGGATACAGACTGCGCTGTAATCTCCTAAAGCTTTAAAAACAAAAAGCTGCTATTGTCAGGAATAATTTGTCTGATTTAAGCTGTTCAGTTCTCAGTGTCATTGAATGGATGCTATTTTACTCCAGAGTCTTCACCATAATTGGAGGATTGTTGGCTACTGCCCACGATAGGCAATTTTTCACATTTAAAAGGTGTTTGGGATTATGACTGAAATGTTTACAGTGAGGCTGAGGGTTGCATGTTGGCTAAAATGCTGGAGCAATGTGGTGGGGGGAGAAAGTGTGGTAAAGTGGGAATTAGATTAAAAGCACAATATAGAAAGATGGGACAACAGGGAAGGACGGGCAGCTAGACTCAGCCCATCTTACCGTAACGTGCAAATGTGCTGCTGTCATGATAGCTCCTGCAGTCTAGCGTAAAACTTAACTGGATTCAAAAGCATGGGGCATAAGAAAGCTGATAAATTGTGATTTGCGGTGTCCAGGTTAGCTTGTTGAAGCGTAGTAGTTAAGGCTTGGCTTTAGGAAGAATAATTCAGGATATAGCTTTTGTAGGTGTATATAGATAAGTTATTTAAGTTGCTCTCTGTGGTTGTTTTGCCAGTGGCCATAAACTGTGATTTCTTTTCTCTGTACTTAATGCTGCAGTAACGTAGGTGCTGTGCCCATAGAAGCAAATGCTCGGCCTTCTTCAGGGACAGTTCAGACTAAGCAGCTTTTTATCCCACAGTGAGGTGAGTCTGCAAGGAGGTCTGTTCCGCGTGAGACAGCCCTGGCAAAGGGCTTAGCAGCTTCCAGGTGAGCAGCAGCAGCATCTTACGCTGTTGTAACTATTTCTAGAGCAGCTGTCTGGCCCCGTTAAGCTAGAAGAAGTGATAAGTGTAATCTTTACAGTGATAGCTGCCAGAAGTTAAAATGCGACAGTGAATTTGACAGGACATCTCAACATAAGGTAATATTTAAGTTGTTTTTCTTTTCAAAGGATGTCTGGCAAAGATCCCTGTTTCAAAAAATGCTGAATTCTTGCAGTCAAAGCAGGTTTACAGATTTTTCTCCATGCCACTAAAACTGATAGTTGAATGTAGCAGCTGAGTTAAGTTACTAATTCATATATAGTTTTAGAAATTGAAAGTTTTGTAATAATTAACTTTCTTTGTTGTTGTTGTTTGTTTTTTTCCTATTGCAATGTTTAGGATGCCCTTATTGGAGTAAGAAGTTTAGATCTCCTTATTCAAAAGAGCTTTGATAAACATATCACTGTCAGTTCCCGTAGGAGGACTAACGAACTTGAGAAACAAGGCTGCTTCTGGGCTGTGGTGCTGATTTGTGCTTCTTTAGAGTGGATAGGTTCTTTCTGGAAAATTGATTTCAGTATTTGTGACTGAAGGTTGTTCTGATTTCTGTGTCTACAAGGAAAGCCTCTTAAAAAGTGTAAGATTTTTTTTTCAGGCCTCTGTGTTTAATTTCTGTAATTGATATACATGTCTTAAAAGCTGTGCGAGTTTAGAAGTACCAGTTACTTGTTTGTTATTTTGAGGGGATTTTTCATTCAGTGTTTGCCCACCTCTGCCCTTCTATGCTAAGGGTTAGGACACTGCTCTTTTGTTTCTCTGCTATGAAGCCTGGTGATGATTTCACTCCTCAGTGTTTCGGGAGACATCTGTTAGAACACCCAGTGCTTGCTTCTGCGAGGTCCTGGGGTTTTTTTTTGAAAGGCTGAAGAGGAGAAACTATATACAAATGCATTAGCCAAGTCAGTTAGCACAGAGGTCAGGGAAATGCATGATGTTTGGAGAAGGTTTTTCTCGATTCAGTGATGCTATCATCTGTGAGCAAAAAATCTTACTGCTTGACCTTATAAAGGCAGTCTGCCATTAGTGTATATTAAACCAGTGTTTGGTTCTGTAAATTTCTTGTTCCGTTATGTGTAGTAGAAATAAAAATAAGCCTCCGAAAATACAGAATGAACTTGGCACTGCAGATGCTTCCCTTTTCACAACTATTATGGTAATTTTTTGTAGTGTGGTAGTGGCTCTTAAGTCTTGTATGTTTGTTTTAAGGATTGTACAGTTTCAGGGATACAATCATTATTAGAGAGTTGGGATGCTCAATACTGATAGCTTTACATAAATAGTGAAGGGAGCTTGGTATGCACTTAGATACCAGGTTTTATGTTCGTAAGTAGCGTTGCTCTAAACAGCAGAACAGAGTTTCTCATGGTGTGTCTATGAAGGAAGGCTGAGATGTGTAAGGCAAAGTGCAAACTTAGCTACACATGATTTATTCTAGTGTAAGCCTCCTTTGGCCCCATTTCTTATATTATAAAAGTGGGTTTGGGGTTTATGGTTTGCTTGGAAATCGTTTCTAAGCTGAACAAAGAGCTTTTGAAGGACAAATGCAGACCAAGAAGCAGTATAAGGGGCAAAACTTTCCCATGTAAATTAATTATGACCATGTAATTAATTGTACTATTGACTGTATTAGCTGCTTTTTTATTAATGTCTTTACAGTTTGAGTTGCTTTTCATGAGGATGGGACTTACTGAAAGCTGTGCTTAAAGGTATGGCCACACAATCATAGGCAATTGAAAAAGATGGCTAGGTGGGTGTTATTACTTTAGCCATTTTTTTCCTGCCTGTAGCTTGTACATGCTTCTTCCACCTCTAATTCCTAAGTGCTGCACTGTATGCTCAGAATTCTGTGAAGACATTAGTTTTCATTGCTATATTTTTTTGGTTTATAGCATGGGAAGGAAGTAAAAGTGCATTGCTTGGACTAACTATAGATGACAAGAAGACTCTAGTAAGCTTTAAGAAATTGCAGATAAGCTTGAAAAATGCTTTTCATTGCAGTTTTCTTTTGAGATGCTAATGCATAGATAGATATGCATAACTGTTAGTTATCTATTCTAAGCTTTCAGAGCAGAAAAAGATGGGAAGACAGGGTTGTGAGAGGCATGGGCTAGTTACCTTCAAACATGTGGATGTCAAACCATTTCCTTGAAATGTCTTTATTTTTTTTTTTTTTGAGCGTGCTGATGTCTCAACTCACCAGACACACTTATCAAGCTGTGCTACGAAGAAAGCAGGAAGACAAGAAGAGAAGTTGCCATTTGCTGCTTAAGTTAAGCTGGAACATCTCACGTTCCCAGGGTCAGAGGCCTGTTGCAGCAGTGCCTTGTAGTTGACCAGTCAGGCCTCCTAACCTCATTTTTTCCTCCCACAGCCTCAGTGTGCTGCTTGTCTACCTTTTAGAAGCCTGCACTTCTCTGTGTTTCTTTTTCCTTTGACCCACTCTTGTGCTTTTTGCCACCTTCACTGATGTAGCGTGGAAATGAGACTGTTTTGGTGGGGAACTCTAAATGCCTCTGATATTTGGGCTAGGATTTTATGCATTTGCTATAGCGAGTAGTGTTTCAGGAGGTACAAAAACATGAAGCCAGAGAAAAGGGGTACCTGTGTTGAGGGGAAGGAAAGATTGCTAGGAATGTTTTGACTGGAGTTTGCAGTGCATTAAAAAAAAAAGTGCTGAGTAAGCTTGCTTAAATTTTTTAGGTTAGATGACTAAAGGTGGAGCAAGGGCTGTATGCTAGGTTTAGCAATCTAGAGCGCAGAAATGCTGGAGGATCTCAATATTGTCAGTCTCGCGTAAATTTTTTTAAGAAAAGTTATGATGCGGCATGAGCTGACGCATGTATGATGAGTAATTTAGGGTGTGGGCAGTACAGAGGGCAGCCGGGCTGCACCTTCGGAGCCAGCTGCAGCTCGCAGATAAGCTCCTGCAGCAGAGTGCCGCTGGAGGAAGCGGCGGTAATCATAGCTTGTGGTTACAAGATCATGGATCGTTGCCGGGAAGTCAGCGAAGAATAAACAGTGGATCAGCATCTGCGGTGTTAGGAAAACACAACAAAACACAAGAGGTCTTGAAAAAATCTCGGTTCAAATGGCCACCAGGATGCTTGCTGAGCACTCAGTGACTCCTTTCAATGAGCCAGTGGCCTTCTCAGGTCAATAATCAGCTATCCAATGTTCACTTTCAAAGCAGAAGGAAGCTTGAAACGTAACGTTTCATGGCCAAGACCAAGGATCGAGGAGGTGGAAGGGAATACTGAGGAAAAAAAAAAAACAATTTATAACCTTGATAGGCATATTGAACTACCTCAGAAAAAAAGAGTGCCTACAGAACACAACACATAAAACAGCATTTTATTTTATTTTATTTTATTTTTTTTGCTGCTGCCGTTTGCTCTTTTTGATTTTTTTTTAATGTGTTTGGAATTCTTCAAGGAACTTCAGGCATTTAAACTTTTATTTCTCAGTATGACCACTCCTAATAAATCCCTACCTGACCATTTATTCAAAAAAATCATGAGGGAGTGAGCATATAACTAGGACTGTGGAACCACTTTGCTTTTATTGATGGGTTTAGTTTTCAAGACGCTTTCACATCTTAACCTTTAACAATAAACAGATTTTGCAAGTGCTTATATACTTTTGGGATCATGATTTTTATTTCTGTGATGAAGCAGCCCTTTGACAGCCTTCTGACATAAGTATTTGCTGGATTTTGTTTATTTTCTTATTACTTAAAAGGGGCCACAAACTTACGTGTCTGCTAGTTCTTTAGCTCACTACTAATTACAACTTGAACTACTGTCATCATATCTTGTCACTTTTGTGAAATGTTTTAGAGATCAAAATGCATGCTGAATATTTAGATACAAATGGTTAACAGAAGCTTATAACACAGGTCTGCTTAAATGAGTAAATATATACCAGTTTATGCTAGCTGAATCATGATTTTTTTGCACTTGCTGAAATAATCTTAGTGGTTCAGTAAGAGGAGGGTTCTAGGCACTTCTAGCCTTTTTTTTTTTTCCTTCTTCTTTTAAAGATTCTCTCTTAAAAGCCTTTCCAACGAACTGCAGTCCCAGCAGTGAGAAAATGCAACTGGGACACTGGCAGTAGCTCTCTTCAGTGTCTGTGGTTGGCCATACAGCTGTCCAGTGCACCTATCAATGCTCTCACCTTTTGGCTGGTACCAAAACAAGAAAATTGTAATAAAAGAAATTCATCCACATTCTCTTCCAGTGCAGAAAATAATATTCATTTCTAATACATATTTTTGTGTACTAAGATGTTAAGTAGAAGGTAGCCTGTATTGAACTTAATTATCGTGAGTCAATTTTTGTACCTTTTAATGCTGGAGCCATTTGTGGCAGTGTAACGAGCGGTGTAGTGTGTAGCATCCTGGTTGCATGAGGATGTGGTATGATTATTTAAGGAGTTTGCACTGGAATCATTTTGGCAAGTGAAGACGACTTGTACAGTCGCAGACTCTTAGCTTATGCTGTTGTGTCGGTGGTACCCGAGTTGCTGCAGCAGGGACCCTGCTGATGAAGACTTCTGGCCATTCTTGTAGGTGCTAGAATAATTGTTCATCTTGGTGGAAGGTGGGGGAAAGTGGCTCTTGAGAACCAACAGTTTTCAGTAGTTATTTTGCATTTTCCCTGCTGCTCATATTTGGGTCGCTTTTACTGAAATAAGTGGGCAGAATATGAGCTAGTGAGTTTGGTGGAGCTGCCCCTGCTTGCTCCTCACTCTGAGGCGCTGAGGCCGTGAGCTGCCTGAGTGCCTTGCCTGGAACGACCAAGCTAGGAGGAGAAACACGGCTGCCAAGTGTCCAGCTACTCCAAATCCATTTTGGTTTACTCACGCAGTTCCCCAGCTATAAATCTTTAATGACATCCTCATAATATGTACCTGCCCGGGAAGCATTCATTACGACAGCAGGATGGATATACATTTCATTCTCATCTGTCTGGTATGTCCTGCGCTCAGCTGGCAAAAGGCCAGGACAGCTTTGCGGCCTTAGGAAGACACAAGGAGGCCTCTCAGACTTCGTCATAGGAGAACCAGTTCGTTACTTCTGACACCCGTATTTTGAGGGATTTGGTTTCAGCTGTTTAGGGACAAGTCATGCATTCTTTGTGGTTACAGGTGACTCTCTAGTTTTAGGCTTTTAGGAAAGGCTAAGCAAGCTGTTTCTTAGTGTTGTCCTCAACGTGTTCAGTGTTATATAAGCTTTTAAATAGAACAAGTTTGTTTTAGAATTGTTTATAAAGTGTGTGCGGGGAAAAATGTATAAAGGCTGTGGGAAATCCATTTTCTGAAGAATCTGTCTTTAGAAATGTAGTCATGCGGGCTACTTAGGCCTTTTGTGCCTGCACCTCAGAAGGTGATGATGTGAAACCAAAATCCTGTGGTTTCAGCCCATCTCAAAGCAAGGTGTTATGCGAGGTACAAATATAGATGTTTGCCTCTGGATAGCTGATGAAGTTTAAGGGTATGGTGGTATCTGCTGCCTTTTTGCATATTGGGATTTTAAATTACTACTTTTTTTTTCTTTTTCCTTTTCATGTAATATTTGCCTAGAGCGGTATCCTTTCCACATACTTATTTTGAATTGTTCATGATTACTAGTGCTGGATAATTTTGTTTGCTGAGGAAATGGCCTTGCAATGACCTACAGATTTTGCAAATAATTATAAGCTAAACTTCAGATCTACCATTTATGATTCTGATTTTGTATTTGACTCATGATAGCCCTGTACAAAGTCTTGTTCTAGTGGTGCATTAATCGTGTCCTCATCTAAAAGCAATGTTAATTTATTTCCTTATTTTATTTGTAACGTCCTTTTTGGATGGAATTCAAGATTAATATAGAATTATGTCTGAAATGTGTTTTTTTGTTTGTTTGTTTTCCCTAGCCATCCTTTACAAATCCAGAGCTGGAAGGCCTCCCTGTAGCATTTACTTTATCAGCCTTCATGCCAGCCCTAGAGAAAAACCATTTGCGTAGTAGTTAAATGCTTGGCAGAGTCAGTCAGGAACCAGAGAACTCTACTCTTCTGAGGAGCTGTATTTTGGGGCTAAAGCTGTCACAAAGATGCATTGTGTTGTCCAAAGGTGAGCGCAGTGAGGCAAAAAGCAGTCCTGTTTTACCGGGGTATTTATCCAGCACGTCTGCATCTGTCTTGCTCCTCGAAGCAGATGACTTTTTGGTTGTTTTACTTTGTGGTAGTTCAAGGTTGTCAAAAAAAGGTGGCAGGGACTTGTGTGGACAGAGCACCCTCGTTTGCTTTGAAGGTGGGAACTTTTGGAGAAGAATAGTGCAGGATGGACAGGTGGGGGCAGTAATATCTTAAAACTACTGCTGCCAAATCTGTGGGAACCTGTTTGTTTAAAACCTTTGCCTGAACTCACTGAACTTGAATTTGAAAGAGGAAAACATCCACAGCCTGTCACAATGATAGAGATTGCATAGTAATTGGAAACAAAAGGCTTCTGGATTAACGCTGCAGAATTGGGGCAGCTTCAATAGAACCGCTCTGTATCCTTCCCAGAACAGAAGCCATGGTTTTGTGTTAGGATTTTTGTCTTAGTTGATAAAGAGTATGGACTTGCAGTCTCCTAAAGTAAGGACTGTAGTAACCGCTTAAATTTGCGCTGTTTCAGAAGGGGATGGAATATGGTGCAAAACAAAGGAAAACCACACAAAAGACCTTGCTGTGTGTCTTGAAAGTTCGGAAGATAAAACTACAGTCTTTAAGGCTCTAGCTTTATTTTTAAATAGTAGAAAAGAGAGGGAAAAAAAGAAGTCATTTGTTTAAAAATACCCTCAAACAAACAAAATAAACCCTTAAACTGAGACCTGAAAATGAGACATGATTCAACTTAATTATAAGCCTTGAACAAGGAAACAGCATGTTCTCGGAATGCCTAATTACAGCATTGTTTTTAGCCTCTGTGTGTGTCTGTATGTGTGTGTGTTGCTCCAGACAGTCTTCAGAAGGAAAAAAAAAGGCAAAGAAAACACGGAAGTGCAGTAAACATCTTGAAATGCAGTTTCCTCCTCCTTACTGGGAAGCCACCACATGACTTGCTGAAAAAGCTTGGGGGGCGGAGGGAGAGACGGGGAAGGCAGCTTGCAGTTGTTCCTCAGCAGTATTTAAAAAAATCAATTTTCTTCTAAGTGTGCTCCTTGAGAAATTATATCTTGCAAGGTCCTTACAGTATGGCCACAGTGTTTAAAGGCTTTGGGTGTTGTGTAGTTGAATTAAGTTTTTAAGAAAAATGCACCGAGTTGTGGGGTAGCCCAGCAAGCTGTTTTGTGTTGCTCACTGATAGATGATAGCAGAAGCAGAACAAGACCTTATGCTGTTAATATACCGGGTACTTTTAAAGGTGAGAAGGTAGATACTAATCTAAGGTAAATTCTTTTTTTTATTTTTTTTCTCTTTAGACTCGTAGCATGGTTCTTTCTATGGTCAGTCTTCTATAATTTTATTTATTTATTTTGCCGCTATCACTAGAATGTTGCTGGGAATTGAACTAAAATTCGCCAAATAAAAATACAGGTCCCATATACTGAACATAGGTTATTCAATGTATAACTATTCTTAAAAACGCACAGCTACTTTAAAAAAAAAAAAAAAGAAAAAAAAAGAAAAAAGGAAAAAAGAGAGAGAGAGGTTCAACTACTCTTTCTCTTCTAGGACTAATGTTTCTTAGAAACGTGTCCCCCTGCATGTGTGTGAAAAAATCATCTGTGGTTATGTACCTTGTATACTTTCTGTGGCTATACATTGTATACTTGCTTTAATAAAAGCACTGAAGGGTTGGCATTCCCTCCTGAATTAAAATGCAGTATTGTCAGCCCAAGGGATCAGCATGAGAAATGTAAAATGCTCAATAATGTTTTAATAGTATGTCTAGCGTAGATTCCTACAATGTGCTGTTGGTTGTGTGAAAGCTAGAAGCGATATAGAAGCAGAAAAAAAAATCTCTACTTTATCCCTATTCTTGTCTGCAGTTTGTCCTTTCACTCTAATCTGTATCGTGGGAGCAGCAGTGTGATTTCATGCGCCAGTCATGCTTTTAGTCTTGCATGGTTTGGTGTATGAAATGTATACGTTTAAGCGATTAACTCTTCAGCATCCAGAGCGTTTCTGCACTTTCCTCGCTCTGATGTTACAGCCTGTAATTACAGAGAAGACAGAAATACAAGGACTGAAGTGGAAAAGAGGGTTCCCTCATAGCTCTTCGGAGCTGCCCTCCTCCCAGCTCCCTCTGGCCA